TGTCTTCAGACCAGCCGTGTTTCAGGAGCTTCTTACCACATACTTGCAGGCTCTGCTGGCGCCACCTCAGGAATGCAAACACTTCTCCTTGAGAGCTCTTGGAGGGCAGGTGAGGTACCAGAACACAGAGGAAAAATATAAACATGGCATCTATCTCTAAATATAGAGGGAGAAAAGAGGAGTAAGAATTATAGACCAGTCAACTTCTAGAAGCTTTCAAGAGAATTGAACTATCAATCAAACAATTTGCTAGCACCTAGGAGATAAAAGGGAGATGAGTGACATCCAGCATGGATTATACAAAAGTGAGGCATGTTAAACTCATTTGATTTCTCGGTAGAAGTAGGAGAGGAACAGTTGGTGCCATATCTAAATTTTGGGAAAGGTTTGACGCAGTCCTACTTGACTTTCATAAAGCGACCTGAGAAAACAAGTGTGGATAAAACTGCTTCAGATCCTACACAAAAAGGAGTGAGAAGAACCAGTCATTCCCAAATAATACAGTTAGTGGTGGCTTCTGGTCAGAGCAGAGGACTCTGTCAGCCAGGACTCTGCAGGGCTCTAGGTTGATTTCCTTCAAAGTTTTCACAGATATTAAAAATAGATGAAAATACATAATTATGGCTGGCAGGGACATGGAGCAGGGAGAGGTCCTTCAGCACATCGGAGGATACGATTCACAGCTTAAAATGGTCTTGGCAGGTTAGAGAAGTGGGGACTGGCTCTAGGCTGGGGCACCGTGCCTCAGGAAGGACCCAGCTGGAGAAGGCGTAGGGAAGAGTCATTGCAGTTACTGGAGCTGGCTTAGGCTGGAAGGGCTGGAAGGAAAACATCTGAATAGCTTGGCTGAAACTGGAGGGGGAAGCGGGGGGCAGATGTAGCCTGTGCTCCAGGAAGTTTCCAGGAGAGATCGACAAATATTCCCCCCAGGAGAGACCAGGGCAAACCGGCTCCTTGCTGGAATCAGCCCAGGCTGGGATCCAGCCCTACCACACTTCGACTGAAGGTGCCGTTTCACAACTGCTGGGGCTGTGCGTGTCAGCGGGGACATACAGCAAAATCATCTTTGCCTTTGCCTTTTTAATACGTTGGTTTCGTAGTGAAAGGCTGAAGGCACGTAAGTGCTTTGTTGAACAGGAGCCAGAGCGAGCTGCTATGCAGAACGCACCCCCAGTTTCCAAGTATTTCATTTATTTTGTAATTAAGCAATAATCACTGAGGCACTGGGCACTTCTTCAGGATTAATGACTTGCTGGGGGATGGCAGAAGATCTGATCTGCAGTGGAACCATTTTCCCCAGCAAACACCTGCCCTGTTACCCCCATTCCGAAAAATGTGTGTCAACATAACATGCAAACATCTGGGGTGTGCTGTTAGCAGCTGGGGGCTGGGGAGCGGGCATTAATAGGTACGTTAGACAGTCAGGTTGCCTCAGTTGTCTCTCACCATCCCATTTAGAGCACGGTGTTTCATTAGTCACTTGGTGAATGAAATGGCTTTTTAATTGCTCGGAATCACTTTTTTAAATTACAGCATTGTCTCCTCCCCCCTCCACAGCCCCAGGGACTTTTTAAATCCTGTTTCTTCCTTTGCAGTGAAGAGGACCAGCTCTAGGATGGCAAAAGAGGAGCCTGCCTGCAGCAGTTCCCTTTGTGTTTCAGACGCAGGACAAAATATGAGCCATTTAGAAAACAAATTCACACTTTTAGTGCTGAAAATCCTCTGTTCCCATGAACTTGTGGGTTGCTTAAAGAGTAGCCCACTCGGCCTGAATCTTTAAAGACTCCCCAGCCTTGATGCGCTGCTGCTCACTTCCTGTGAGTTCCTACACGCTGTGTATTTTTAATAGTGGCAGCTCAGCAGAGCACCCAAACGTCACCGGTTCTGGTGCCCCGCCGCACATGGACTGGCTCAAGCCATCCCCCAGCACAATAGGTGCCTCTCAAGAGTCTGGCCGGAGCTTTAATATCTTCTAGGCAGTAAAGCACAATAGGAGGCAAGAGGAAAGGTGTGTCCCAAACGAGTGAGCGGCAGCGTGAACGCTTCCAAAGGACTATGGAAAAAGCTGCCACGGGAGTCCGGCCTTCGGATCGCCAAGGCAAGCAAGAGGAGAAACATTTGCTCAAAGCATGTAGGACAATAAACCAGTTCATGGTGTCCTAGCAGGCTTCGGAACGGCACTAGTCAGGGGGGATTTGCTCGCTCAAATATTAGGTAATGTGCTAACTGCGTGATTGATTAATCCGTAGGCACTTCCTACAGCAAAACTTTAATACTGGCATCCGCAGTGCTGCTTTCAGTTGCCGTGGCTGCTTTCCCGGAGAGATTTCACGGAAGAACAATCAGGGTGTTTTTTCACCACAGTCTTTTCTGCCCCCTTTAAAAGTAATGCTTTTATGTCTGTGCTTTGAACGGTGTCAGCGTGCTGCCCAGTCAGCAGTATGTTCGCTGGGGGATCCCAGAGCCACTCTCCATCGCTTAATTCTGCCCCTTCAGCACAAGGAGCCCTGTTACTTGATAGGGAGCTCACTGGCTTGGAGTAGTTAGAAACACTGAGTATTTCAGAAGCCAGAATGTCAGGCAACACATTCGTGGCACAAAGCCAGAGACGGTTTCAACTCTGAAGAAGACCAAAGCTCACGTCTTTTCCTCTATGGCTGTTCAACCTTCTTTTTGCCTGATCGAGCCCGTAGCTGATGTGTGTCAGTGAGAGGTGGAAACAAAGCCCGCCTGAGCTGTGGGCACCACTCCCAAACAAATTTCAGCTGTATCCTCTTGCACTCCTTACACCACCCCTCATGCCCATCTTCTTCTCACCCCTTTCTTATCCCCATCTTACTTTTCCTTCTCTTAGTTACCCCAGAAACAACATTCAGTCCCCCCTGCCCCCAAATCCAACCCGGAGCCAACGGAGCAGAAAGACTGACTTCTTTCTGGTGACGCTTTTGCTAACTAACCGTCTGCCTGTCTCTCGCGGGGCCCCTGCTCTGCCCATCTTTTTGCTGGCGTGCCCGTAGCTGGCCAGAACTGGCGCTGCACAGTTCTCTTGAATTCAGACAGGACTGATGCAGATCCTTGTGCTTTGTGCCAGCTATAACTCTTCAGGTCTGACCACAACTTTCAGGAAAGAACGCATTTCCCAGAAGCTCAGCAACTTGCCTGAGAAACAGTAAACGATCCATGAGATGCAGGGCTCACACACAGCTCTGCTGGCCCCGCTCCTTCCCCGTCACCCAAATGCTGCTACCCCAAACCTCAGCACAGGCACTGGATTCACGCCAAATAAAAGTTACAGAGCGCAAAGTCTGCTACTGCCTATAACTCTTCATCAAAATCAAAACTAGCCATAGAAAAAAAATTGGCAAATTAGCGAGTCGGGATTTGCTAACTCAGAAAGGTTGTCCTCTGCCCCTGCTCCTCTTCTCAGCCTTGGTGAGACAAACCAGCAGCCCCTTGTGCCATTTCCATCACTCTGGCACCATTCCCCCTTCCCAGAGCTGGGAAGGCAGAGAGCTCTGCCCAGGTCCTTGGACCAGTAGCTTAAAAATTTCCTGGACACCAATTAATCAGAGCAACTGCCTGTCTTGGGCTGCCTTTACTTGTAGTCCTATTTTTCCAGGACTCGGAGGGTGATGGAGCAGCTGCTCCCAGGAGGTCGGCGTTCAGCGAGGAGAGAGCAAGGCTTGCAGTGGGGGAAGCAGAGAGTGTCAGTAAACCTTGCCCTGAGCTTCACATCATGGGAAGCAGATCTGTGTGTTTGTCAAGCGTGTTTCTATCAGCCTTGTTCTGCACGTAGTCATCTGTTAATAACACGGGGCTGGCATCCAGCCCCGTTCTCCACCGCCATCCCAGCACTGTATCTATTGCAAGCTCACCATGATCCCCGCCAGCGCTCCCTCTCCCCGGGGGGATGCCAGCACTGGTCGAGGCCTTGGCTTGTGTGTATCCGATTTAGAAAAAAAAGGAAACAGAATTCCCGTTACAGGCAGTTTTTATCAGTGACCAGATCCGTTACTGAAGGGCTTGCTGTTGTCCGGTGAGATCTGAGGATGAGTGAGCAAGGACTTCATTTCAGCTAAGCAGATCATCCTCTCTGCCAATATTTAAGAGACAGGATCATAACTTATGTCTTCACTGGGAAGAATTATTGTCAAACACAATTAGCTCTGCAAATCCTAGCTGTTTGCTAGACACATCCAAGCTTAGTTCTTGAATTACTTAGAGATGAAGAAATTACAGGGGTCAGTCTTCTGACCTAAGCAAGGGACTGCAAGTACTCGCTCCATCAAATAGTTCTTTTTGCAGGGTTTAATAGAGGCGAACACACAGAGTATCCAAGGTGCAGAGCTGATGGACAGGGCTGTGGGTCTCATTCCAGGAAAGGATGATGTAACATGCTTTGAGGCAGCAAAACCCCCAGCCCTGCCTGGTTTTAAAGGAGAGGGAAGAGGTGTGGAGGGTTGTAAATACTTTAAGTCACTTCCCTGTCTGTGCCTGTGTCCCTGTGTGTACAGGGGCATTTTGACGCCTGTTACTTTTGTCCAGGAGTTACTGTGGAAAGGACTAGACAAGAACTAGGGGTTTCTATCTCTTTCTTTGGTGGTTAAGATCTGATCTGATGGACATTGTAAGCACTGAGTGTGTTTCTGTAGATCTTGGCACGAAGGGTAATGTAGGATCTGGAAACTTCCCCACTCTGACGGGTAAGCGTGCGAACACAAGGTGCTCCCTCCAGGCTCTGGCTTTTGGAAGGGAGGTACCATATGCGCTGACCCTGCACAAAACCTCCTTGAGAGAGAGCAAAAGGGATGCAGATTCCAGGCACTGGGCTCAGACACGCTGCTGGTGAACAACCAGAAAGGTTTGAAAAGAAACGCTGACTAAATTAAGTGAATCAAGCTAGCAGATGTGCTCTTCAAAAGAGCACAGCTCTCTTTTAAATGTCTCCCCCATTGAAACGACGTTCTCAAGAGGTTTTTGTCCTTTGCGTTTTTTTTCAGGATCATCCACGAGGATGGCTTCTCTGGAGAAGACGTGAAGCAGTACAAGCCAGTGGTCTACAGCAACACTATACAGTCCCTGGCAGCTATTGTACGTGCCATGGATACCTTGGGCATCGAATACGGTGATAAGGAGCGGCGGGTAAGTTACCATCACCACTGCTGGGGTACCGAGAGCTGAGCACCCAGAGATTCTGGAGCGCAAACAGGAGACATTTGCACAGCCGGAATACTTGGAGGAATAAGGACGGAGGGGGGCAGATGTACGTGCTCATTGTATGCCTGTTGCACGTGCAGTGTGTGCACCGAAGAGAGGCGTAGGCACAACTGTGTATGACATGTCATTTGTACACTTGTGCTAGGAAGTGCAGCCCCAAGGACCTCTGCATCCCAACAGCCCCAGTCTCTCATGCCCTGGCACCAGCTAGGCTGGTACAAAAGAAAATAAAATCTGTTATCTAGGGATAAGCTTAGGCAGAGGTAGTGACCGACTTGGGGAAACAGTGAGAACATGTGTCCTGTCTGCTGTGTGTGTGCTGGGTACACGGGCTGCAAGGAGGAACGTCTCAGGGAGAAGTCTTTCTGTTCTTCAAATCCTTTCCACCAGCCTGCTAATACAGGAAAGCTTTCAAGATTAACATAACTTTTGCAGGGGCTTGGCTGGTTTTTACTTGCACATCTCCCATTCAGTGTACTCAAACAGCAATTTCGCTTGCAAACAAGGGGAGGTGTTACATCAGTGAGGATCGTATGGACAGTCTCTCAGGCAGCAGCATTAGCGTGTGTCTTATCAGAATAACTATGTGATGTCTGGCAACCTTCTCATGCCACACACCTAGTCCAGCCTGTCCTTTGACAGTTGCTACTCTGTCCTTACTTTAACGAGCTCCCTATTTTTAAACAATGGCTTCTCTGTGAGGTGCCCCTGCCAGCCTCCACCTTTTTGCATTTCTGGCTCTGACCAAGCCCACGTGGAGAAACTCAGAGCCCTGGAGAAGTCAAGACCACCCTTTGGTGTACTGCAATCTTAGGGAAAGTAAAACTGCTTGGTTTCATTGGAAATAAAATAATTTCAGATTAAAGACCTGGTAAATGCAAAGTCCTGTATGCCACTGAGTTTGCCCTGACTATTTTTAGGAAGCTATCAAATGGCAGATGCATGACATACCCCAAACTCCTTGTCTGAGGGTTGATAATAAAAGCATTCACGAGAAAGGATGCCAAAATCCTGCTGTGGTGTTACTGCATGGAGAGGTACCTTATTTCTCACAATTGCAAAGGGGTATTTTGATTTCTTTGCATCTAGGGATTTTACCCTCAGGAATTCTAAATCCTGGAGACATTTCCATCCCAAACATAGAGATGATACCATAATGGAGTTCTTGTGAGCTTGCCGAGAACTAATGCTGATGGCTTTCGAACTGAATACATTAATCTGTTGATTACTCAGTGACTCAGCTCTCAGCAAGGCAACGTATCTTGTCTCAGCTATAAACCTATGCCCAGGAAAACAGAAACAAATCATTCTCCATGTCTGATAAATAGTCTATGGCAGAGAGCTTTAAAATGTAATTTTATTTTTTTTTCTCAATGCCTGAAGACCTAGTTCGAGGAGGGAAGCTCAGCACACTGCGTTAGTGCCAGGCCTGCCAGAGTACGGGCTGTTATCGAGACTGCCAGGAATGAGAGATGGAGTACTGGGCTGCACAAAGTGTCGTGTCCGTTCCTATTCCTATGGAAAAGATGCCAAATGTTCCTAGGATCATACAATAACTCAGGCTGGAAAGGAGCTCAGGAGGCGTCTAGCCCAACCTCCTGCTCAAGCTAGGACAGCTGTGAGGTCGAACCAGGTTGCTCAGGGCTTTATCCAGTCGGGTCTGAAATCCTCCAAGGATGGAGACTGCACAGGCTCTTTGGGTGACCTGGTCCACTGCTTTACTCTCCTCACGATGGGAGCTTTCCCCTTATGTGTCATGCGAATCCCTCTTGTTTCGATTTATGCTTAATGGCAGGAGGGATCCTGAGTTACACCTTGCAAAGCAAGAAGGAAATTAGATTAAGTCCTCTCCAAACTAGTTCTCCCTAAGGTATGTAGTCGTGGAGGAATTACTCCCGATTTGCAACAGGTTCGTGCTGGCTGTGTACGGACAAGCCTGCGACAAACCACTGTGACCCGAACAAGTCTGGGAGGACCGGTTCAGTGTTACCTTCCTCCTTTGTAGATGGGAGTAGTATTCCTTCATCCAGCAGTAGACAAAGGGGAAAGAAACCAAGTCTCTTGGGCTGTGGCCTTCCACTTGCTCCTTTCTCTTAGTCAACCTCCACAGAAAGTTGCTGGTATTAGTATGAAATAGTATTTATTTTAATCTTAGAAAGAAGCGCGTGGCTCCTGCTACCCTGCTTTTGTTATTAATGCACAGCTGCTATAAAGAGAGGCCATTAACCAGGCGATTTGTTGGGTATTATGCTACATGGTTCATCCCTTTTCAAGCAAAGCGCTTCTATTTTAAAAGTCATTCCTCAGCCAAAGGTTTCCAACGCAAATCTTTTAGTGGGGGATTTTCCCCTACTCATCGCTTAAGCCCCCAAGAGAGGGGAGCTCGGGATGGGAAGCTGGGGCTGCGGCTTCTCCAGCTTGATTCAGCAGCAGCAAGGAGGGGGCACGGCTCCAGGACAGGTTTTCCCCAGGGACTGCTTGGATATTACAGCTTCTCCCACCTCAGCTTCATGGAAGATGCATCTGCACCTGTATCCCTTCCAAATGGCACCCTGTCAATGTTTGGAGCAAGGAAAAAACCTCTCCTCTACTTAATAAATGGTAATGAGATGATTTGTGCTTTTGTTATTGAGGCAAAATAACCAAATCCTCTCTCACCGTTCTCAGTTTTCTCCTGCCCTTAATTATACCTCCAGTATTTAGTCTAATAGAAGCGAAAAACTGGAGGAAGAGTCCAGACTAAACCTCATTGCTTGTGTCAAAGTGAGATCAGTGTAGGAAATACGACCCAAAAAGACAAAACAAATCACAAAAAGCACATACTCCAGGTCTTGCTGACCCTCTCTGCTGATAAGAACCTGTCCCCAGGCTAAGAACAAAACACTCTGCGTGTAGGATTTCACTTCTGCTCGTGCCTCTGGTTCAGGGAAATGGGTTTCCTTGCAGCGGTGCCTGGCTCGTGGAAGGTTCACAGCCTGCAGGCGGGTACACCTCGGTCCTTGTTTCATCTCCGTCGTCCCGCCAGCTCATGGCACGTTATCACCATGCCGAGCCCAGAAGGTCAGTCTGAAACTCCAGAAAAGCTGTGCAAGGGCAAAGACACAAATCCTTTACATATTGAAGGTGAAAAAGGAGCAGTCAGTGAGGAGACAGAAACGGTGTCCATGGGTATTCCTTGTCTCTGAGACCATCGCTGCCCCAGGCCTGGATCCCTGCCTAGCCAAGAGCAAGGGGTCACACGAAGAGGCTTGGCCCTGCCTGGCTGCTCAGGACCCTCCAGGTGGCCCCGCAGGGCAGTGCTCAGGCCTTACCTTTATAAGCAGATTAAGAGGCAGGAAGGAGTGAGGCCGTAACAGGTAGCTGCTGGATTAAACGGTTCTCTAGAGTGCAAATGTATTAATAAAGCAAGCTCCTGGCTGCTTCCCTTTCAGTGTACCCAGCAGAGCGAAGGGGAAGTGGAGATTTAAAGCCAGGAATCAGGAAGTCAGAACAAGTGCTGGGATCTGGTCAAGCAGGAGGGGCAGGGAAGTGGTCAATTTTTATCTCTCCATTCGAAGAGCCAGATCCCACGCCCGGCTTCTGAAATCCCAACCAGAAGTAGTGTACAGTCTCTTCCTTGGCGGGTCAGGGCTGACCTCAGAAGCTGCTTGGAAATGCAGCATCTGCAATCCCACTCGGGCAAAATGCCAGAGCTGCAGCCAGGCTGGGAGGTGTGGGGGTGTCCCCAGCTTGGTCCCAGGCTGCAGTGAGGCTGCCCAGGCAGGGGCAGGGGTGTGAAAACAGCTGTAGAGCATGTTCATATTGCACAGACAGAAACAGGCGGAAATTGTTTGGAAATTACTCGACAGAGAATCCCAGTATCAGTCGCGTGGGTCAGGTACGAGTGTCGGAGGTGCCAGGGTCACAGGTCTAGCGCTTGGGGTCTGGAGGTGGCAGGCAGTGAACTTCAAATGGATTTTTTTCTTCCCCAGTGGGAGTCTAGCAGTGTCCCTGCTTCAGCTATGAAAGGGAAAGCTTAAAAGTTGCTGAAGTGTTAAAAAGTTTTGGTAGGGAATTTTTTTTTGTTTCAGGCCTTGTATTAAGATGTATCTGTGGTGACCTTATCCTGCGTACAGCACGTAACTGCTGAACTGTGAGCTAAGCAAAGATGTACCTGGGACGCTTTAGAACACTGGATAGTAATATTTTTTTCAAAATCAATCTGTTTAGTGTCACTGAACAGCCCACCCGAGGTGACTGGCAAAGGGGGACACAGTGCTTCTGAGCAGCAGGGCACAGCAGAAACCCAGTGCTTCCAGCCCCATCCCCTCTGTCTGGGCTGAACTGGTCAGACTGGGGATGCAACCACTGCTTCCTGCTGCCTTCCAGTCGCTGGAAGGGAGCAGTGTGTGGGAGGAACCCTCTTCCGTAAGGCCTGCTTCTGTGCAACCTGCTTTTTCTCTGGTGGCAGGGAGGCTGGATTAAAATGATCTCTAAGGTCCCTTCCAGCTTAGGCCATTCTATGATTCTATGATGATTCTATGATTCTATTCGTCAGCTCCAGATATTTGTGGATTTGAGTTCGTTTCGGACAGATACCTGTTTAGACCAGCTGGTTCCTACTGCATGTCCCTAACCCGAGCTCTCTGAGAAATACGAAAAAGCTGCTCATAACTTTGGGGAGGGCAGGCGGAGTTAATCGGGCACGGCCGTGCTGGTAGGAAGCCTCCGTTTGCTGACTGGTGGCTAAGGGGGGAGGGAGGCAGAATTCCTGGGTTTCTGCCGCTGCAGCAAGGATAGGGCCAGCCCTTGCTGGTCTGCCGTTGTAAGCAATGGGAACTTCACCGCCGTGAAGCGTAACTTAGGCCTGCCCTTTGCTAAGGTGTAAAAATCGGTCACTCGTTTCCATTAAGACCAAAGCCATCTCTCTTGCACCCTTCCCTCTT